TGTCCTTGCCTCCATGCACTCCTGCCCCTTGAGCTATGTCCCTATGCATACATAGCCTTTCTGTTCTCCCATGATTGTTTTCTCCAAGGAGTGCATCTACCTAGTGTAAATGTCCAGCTCATATGCCTGTCTTTTGTTTGGCTGGAAGCCACAGGAGTGGGTTCAACTCCACACCTGAAGGGCAGCTAGGGGCCATAGTCTCATGGCTCCACCAGGCTCTATCAGACCAGCAACCAGGTCCCCTTTTCTTTTTTTTTTCCAAATGACTTTGAGTTTTGTTCTTCATTGTCCTCTCACTCTATCCAGGATCTCCTACATAGATCTCTGAGTGGTTGACAGTGGTAGCCAGGCACCATCTAGTTCTTCTCGTTTCATAATCATACAGGCTGAGGATTGCATGGCGTACCCATCGCTTGGACTAATTGTTTCCATGAGTCTTTGGTTTTCTTCATTCTTCTTTGCTCTGGACAAGGAGAGACCCATCACTGTATCTAGATGGCTTCTTGAAAGCTTTTAGATCTCAGTTGCTACTTGCCAAAGTAGGAAGTGGAACAATGTTTTGTGTAGTGAGCTTAATGACCCCTGAAACTATGGTCCTGAGCCCACTGGTTCAACTACTTTGTCTCTCTGTGTAGCTGGCTATGCCCAAGAAGTGACTACAACGTTGTCTCTCGTCAGCTCTACTATACACCTGGGAATTCTTACAGAACATACCAATACACTTGTAGAAACACTGTCTGCCAGCCCTATATGTGGTCTTCAGCACACTCCTCCCTGCACAGACATACCTAATAGTTCAGCCTGTCCACTCATCCATCCACCCATATACCCATGTTTGCCTTCACTGACAACGCAGTACTGTATGTGCAAAAGGGTTCATCTTTGTTGTCTGTACCTCCCATGTACCTCTCTATGCCTTCCTCTTCCTCAGTGCCACCACATTGATCACTCACATTTGGTACACTGCCCTTCTCTTCACCCAAATCAATACTTGTCTCTACCTATCTAACAGTATTCCCTTCCCTCCCCTTCCACCCCTGGTAACTAACAAAGAAAGTTTCCTTCCATATGTAAACCTTTCCTTGACTTTTTACAATAATGGACTAATACAATATTTATCCTTCTATGATTGACTTATTTCACTCAGCATAATATCCTCCAAGTTCATCTACGTTATGCGGTGTTTTGGAGATTCTACGTTATTCCATTCTATAGTATTCCATTGTGTCTATGTACCATAGTTTGGTTATTCATTCTTCAGTTGATGGACACCTAGGTTGTTTCCACCTTTTGGCTATTGTAAACAGTGTCAAGGCTGTAATCTTTATGGAAGATTTTTCTCCTGTGGAGTGGCTAGTGGGTTCCAACTGCTGACCTTTCCATTAGCAGCTTGAGTGCTGAACCATTGAGCCACTAGCACTCTTTTTTATTAGTCTACTAAACTTTATCAAAGTATTGGCTTTGTTTCCACAGGACAATAGTAGGTAAGCCAAGAATGGGTTAGTCAACACAATTTTAATATTCAAAATTGTGGACAAATAGATTTTTCAGATACATTCCATGATTCACCATGCAAATGAATAGTGGAAACTACCTTTTAATTTTACTTGAAATCTTAATGGCTTCACTTATGTTCTGCATTTTTTGTTTTAAATGGAAGCTTAGAACTACTTGTATTATTCTCTCAAATTGTACCCAGGTTACTGAAGAAGTTACAATTCCTACAACACCGTGTATCTCTTAATCGTTCTTCTACCCTAAAGCAGTCAAAGGGTGAGAAAGGGAGTGAAACACAACTTAGATTTTGGGGAAAAATGAGTTTGTTTTGAAATCATTGTATTTATCTACCTATCTGGGGATTTTGATAAAAGTAAGCTAGTCAGTCCCAACTATAACATTTGAAGAGTCTCTGAAGAATATTAACAAAACCAAGCATGTTATTTTAGACATACTTCCAAACTATTGCCATTTGTAAGTAACAACCAAAATTCTTCTCTGGCTTCTACATTTTAAAAAGATACTTATTCTAAATCTGTTTGTACTGGGTGAATATGTGGATATAATAAGAGCTGAGAAACTCTCCCTAAGAAAATGTTTTTGCTAGAAACCCTGTTCTACTACCTCCTGAGCTTCTTGAAAATGAAAATCTCTGTGTCATCCAGATGACAGCCACCTTTTCGGTGGAACCAAAATAGCTCTCTCAGCTAGAGAGCTGTCTGTAAGAGTTTTGACAGATATCAGATTTGGCATGCAGGAGGAAAGTGAGAAGGGTCTCATGGAAGGAGGTTCAGGTGGCACACCTAACTAGCTAAGGAGCAAGGCAGGAGGGGGAGCTTGGAAAACATTGTACTCATGAGCACCAGACCAAGCAGAAGGAAACCAACCGGCATTTCCGGGAATGACAGATAATCTTCAGAGAAGGGAGAATCAGGGAAATACATGACAAGCCTCTATTTCCACCATTAGCTCTTGTGGGATTTTGAAAGAGCCATGATTAGATGTAAGATGCATTGAATTGGAAAGCTTCCATTTGTCAAAGGAATCAAATATACTGACAAGCACAGGATTTTCTCTCCCTCTAGTGGTGGGGTGGGGGCTTTTGAATGGTATCCTGTCACTGTATAATATTCTTCATAAATGAAGATGAGTTTCCATTATAGTGCATTTTGCCCATAAATTAGGACTTTCCTTAGGTGTGCTGCTCTCTCTCACACTGGTTCTCACACCACCTCCAGCTGATTACCAGTGATTAGGTAACAAGGGCCTCCCTCTCCTTTTGGCTACAGGGTACCCTGGCTCACTTCTGATGTACAGGATTCTCCTCTCTTCCATAGTCTTATCGACAGCAGAAACATGCTCTGCTCAGAGACAATTCTCCTGATGCTCAGTTGGGCCAGAACAACCTGAAGAGTTAAATGAGGAAAAGAAAGCAGGCTTAACTAGAGTAAAGGTGGTAAAAACAGAAACTCAGAGGAGAAAAATTCATGAAGGGTCTAAAGAATGATCTGAACGTGGTATGAAGGCCAATAATTAGAGAGAAATTTTGGAACATCTTCACATGTGCTTTCCATCCTCTGTCATTTCTCTTATTTTTACTCTTGGTCATGTGAAAATAGTTCTGCTGTAATGATTTGGATCAGTGAGAGTGGATGAAAAAGGAGAAAAGAGAGAAAAAAGTAAATAATGACAATTTTGAGCAGCTAAAACTTGCTTCCTTGTATTTAGAGGGATTACATGGTATAGTATAACTGCACAGGAGTATTAATGGAAATGAACCATTGGTTAATCAGTAGGTTATTTATCAAGACCTAAAAACCAATTAGTGTGAAGTATAGAGAGTATGCAGCTTTTTCCTCTGCTCCATAGGCAGCTCTCAGCATCAATGATGCCTACTTGACTTTTCTTTTTGGATGTCTCCAAGGCAAACCTGCAAACCTGGCCCTGCTATAGTTTCCTTATTTCAGTGAATAACTCCATCACCCATCTAGTTGTGCAAGCCAGAAATCCAGTTGACCCTGCTAGTCTCTCACCACCATATTCATCACCAAGTCTTTCAACCTTACTCCCTAAATCTGCTCAAATTGATCTATTTCTCTTTGCCTCCAACACCTCCAATTCATCATCTCTCTGCTAACCTTCTGCTGTTCCTTAGATGTTCCATTCCATCCTTGGTCAAATGCATTCTCCACAATGAGCTATTTCATTCAACTAGTATTTTCTAGAGGTTTACTTTGTGCTCTGGGAATACTTTATTAAATTAGACATACCAGGTCCCCATTCTAACAGAGCTTATGAAGACAGAAGACAAACATCAGATAGTCATAAGGACTGCCTGGAAAATTAAAATAGCATCATCTAATAGAGAATGGTTGGATAGCCATTTTGGATTGTGTTTTAAAAAATAAGAAATTCATGAGAATGTCAATAGGAAATATGAGTTTTGAAGCAGGAAAATAAGTTGGCTGGAATGATAGTTATCAGCTGTGAAGGAAGGATTCCTCACACCTAACCAGTAGTTTGTTGTTGTTGTTGTTGTTATGTGCCGTCGAGTCTGACCCGACTCATAGCGACCCCTCCTTGGGTTTCCCCGGCGGAAGTAGGATTGCCCCATCTTCCTTCCGAGGAGAACCAGTAGTTTAGATACTGGTAAGAACAAAAAGGACAGTAAGAAAACTGCACCTAAAGATTCTTTTCAGGTCTCCTTGTCTCCAGGCACCCCTGGTTAAATGTGGTATTTTGTTGTTGTTATGTGCCGTGGAGTCAAACCTGACTCATAGCGACCCCTCCTTGGGTTTCCCCGGCAGTATCACTACGGAAGTAGGATTGCCCAACCTTCCTTCCGAGGAGTGGCTGGTGGGTTTGAACCGCCAGCCGTCTGGTTAGCAGGCAAGTGTCTTAGCCATTATGCTACCAGAGCTCCCAAATGTGGTATTAGTTACCTTTAAAGAATTACTTTATTGTTACCTTCTTCTTCTTCTTTTTTTTTTTTTTTTTGGTACGTCTCCTTTCCGTAGAAAGTAAGGTCCTGACCCTATGGGCCATAACTGTCCTGCTCAATCCTGTCTCTCCAGTGCTTTAGTACTGTGCCTGGCGTATATAAAGTACGCAAATAAATATTAACTAATGCCCAAAGATGCTTGGAGCTGACCGAGAAAGTAATTGTGTGGGTTTGACGATCCAGAAGTCTTCACGGAGATGTGAAGAGCATTTATATCACAAAGTTAACTAGGAAAACCCGGCCAGGCTCCTCAGCATCGGATCTTAAGCACCAAGCGCTTACATTCAAAACTCACACACATGCTCACAGCCAATCACCCGGCAGGAAGTGTCACACAAACCGCCCTATCCTCTCCCCCCGTTCTCCTTCCAGGCCCTCCCCAACAAGGTTCCGGCCACTTTCGAATCGCAATGATCGCCGGAAGCAGTAGTCTTCCGGTCCGAACTTTTATAATTTTGCACGTTTCCTGAACTACGCCTCCCAAGAAGCCTCCCGGCAGAAGGAGACTGTGTCACCTGACTAAAATTCTGGCGAGGCAATGGCGGCGCCCATGCTTCGCTGGGGTTGTGTTGGGAGATGTTGGGCTTTAGCTTGTGTTGACCGAGGTTCTCGCCACCGAAGATGGGCTCCGAATGGCTTCACGCTCAGCGGCAGGAGAGGACAGAACTCAATGGCTCCGCAGCCAGTAATCACAGCCCAGAAGCCGAGGAAAGGGTACACTGTTTTATCCCATTACGGCGCAGCTGAGAGTGTGGTGAAATTGCGGGACTGGGGAGATGGTGGCCACTACAGTCGAGCTTGTCTATAGTTGCGGTGAGCGGGAAGGGATTAGGCTATATATTGGAGCCTTGAAATGTAGAAGAAAACACAAAACAGGTCCTCTGTTAGCCCCGCCCACACATACAAATCGCTGTTTTCATATCGACCACCATATCAGAGGACTGTGCGATGTAAAATTGCAAGTGGTTTAGTGAATACAAGGCTGCACAGATAGAAGAGTAGATTCAGTCACCTTACTATTAGCAACAGGGTCGGTAACACTTGAAGATGCATCCTATTTGTTGTTATGTGCCGTGGAGTCAGACCCGGCTCATAGTGACCCCTCTTTGGGTTCACTACGAAAGTAGATTGCCCCATCTTCCTTCCGGGGAGTGGCTGGGGGGGTTTGAACCGCCAACCTTCTGGTTAGCATTTAAGTGCCTTAGGCACTACACTACCAGAACATCCTATTTAGCTGACATTATTTTGTGCTACTTGACTGCTAACCAGAAGGCTGGCGGTTCAAATCCACCAGCCACTCCTCGGAAGGAAGGTTGGGCAATCTACTTCCGTGGTGATACTGCCTCGGAAACCCAAGGAGGGGTCGCTTTGAGTCGGTTCCGACTCCACGGCACATAACACCACCAACAACAACATGGGCTATCAATGTTGTAAAAATAGAAAGGGAACATTTAAGTATCAGTTCTGGGTGTAAAAGCAAAACTGAAGCCCAGTTGCATATATTCCGACTCATTGATCCTTCAGGACAGAGTACAAGTGCCCACATAGGATTTCCAAGCTGGTGGTGTAGTGCCTAAGGCATTTGACTACTAACCAGACTGCTAACTCTCCAGCCACTCTGGGGCAAGGAAGACTGGACAATCTACTTCCATAAAGATTTACCACCTCAGAAACTCAAAGGGGGTTACTATGAGTCGGAATCAATAACAATTTGGTTTGGTTTTTTAGTAATCTTTACAGAAGCAGACTACTACATTTTTCTCCAGAGGAGTGGATGTTTGCCAGAACTGTCGTTTGGCACCTGAGTGTTTTAAGCACTGGGCCACTAGGCCTCTATTAAGCTCTGAATAAACTCCCAAACAAACAAACTGCTGTCAAGTCGATTCAAATGGAAGAGATTTTTCCCTCTTAGGTAGAAGCTTTTGCTTGTTTTGCTAGGTATCCTCTGAACAACTGTTTATGCTTCACTATATAAGACAAATGTTTTAAGTACGGAAACGTAAGACACGTTTCTAACATATTGTTTATCCTTTGAGATAATTAGGGGAAATGTCTGAAGCATTTGGTTTCTATTGGGCAATCTACTTCCATAGTGATACCACCTCAGAAAACCAAGGAGGGGTCACTATCAGTCGGATCCGACTTGATGGCAGTGAGTTTGGTGTTTTGGTTCTGGTTTTCATAAATTAGATCATCTCACTGTGAATGGAGAATACATTTTCTCTCATGCAGTGCAACTGTGTGAAAATACTTCAGTAATAGCTTCAGTCAATGCAGAATTTCTGATGAACTCTTAGTTTACTTCCCCTCAGTTAAAGATTTTCCACATCAGAAAAAGAAGGAATTCACCTTTTTGCAGTACTTTATACATGTAGAGTCTCATGTGTTGAAATGATTAGAACAAAACTCAATAGATGTAAACAAAAGTCTAGATAGTACAGAATGTTGCTTGTGAGAAGAACATGGAAGGGATAGACAAAAATAGTGTGTGTGAATAATCTGGGGATCACTCAGCATACATGAGTTCCAGAGAGAATAAGCACACTTACAACAACCTAACGAGACCTGTGTATGGAATGAATGGTGTGGACTCAACAGAGTAGAAGTGGCCAGATAAAAGAGATTATTGTAGCATTCAGCAGCTCCTTAGATTTGATAAAAGAGACCTGCTGGCACAAGGATTAAGTGGTTGGATGCTAAGTGATAGGTCTGTTGTTCAAATCTCGCAGCTGCTCCATGGGAGAAAGATGTGGCAATCAGCTTCTATGAAGATTTGTTGTTGTTATGTGCCTTTGAGTCAGACTTGACTCATAGCGACCCCTACTTGGGTTTCCGAGGTAGTATCACTACGGAAGTGTCATCTTCCTTCCGAGGAGTGGCTGGTGGGTTTGAACCACCAGCCTTCTGATTAGCAGTCAAGTGCCTTAGGCACTACACTACCAGAGCTACAGCCTTGCAAACCATGGGGGCAATTTTTTGTCCTGTAGGGTTGCTATGAGTAGGAATTGACTTGACAGCAGTGGGTTGGCTAAGATTTGATGGCAGTCAAACCAGAACAAACACATAGGAACCTGAAATTAGATCTTCCAAAAACCAAACTCACTGCCATCAAGTCAGTTGTGACTCATAGTGATCCCCTTTGGGTTTCCAAAGCTGTAAATCTTGATAGAAGCAGACAGTCTCATCTTCCATGGAGTGGCTAGTGGGTTCAAACCACTGACCTTTTGCTTAGTAGTCAACTGCCTTAACCACTATACCACTAGAACTCCTTGAAATTAGATCTTGTTGTTGTTGTTGTTGTTGTTTGCCATCAGGAATTGAAAATTACTTTGAGGACTAAGAAAGCACCACATCCCATGTTTAATGTTCGAACCACTGACCTTTTGCTTAGTAGCCAAGTGCCTTAACCACTGTACCTCCAGAACTCCTTGAAATTAGATCTTATGAATTGAAAATTATTTTGAGGACTAAAAAAGCACCACATCCCATGTTTTAATGCTTTTTTCTAGGCATATAACTCTCAGGAAGAATATCATTTTGTAGTGGTATAGTATATCCGAGGAGCTCTGGTGACGTCGTGCCTAAAGCATTTGACTGCTAACCAGAGGGCTGGTGGTTTGAACCTACCAGCCACTCCTGGAAGAAAGATTGGGCAATCTACTTCCATAGTGATACCTCCTCAGAAACCCAAGGAGGGGTTGCTATGAGTTAGATATGACTCGATAGTAGTGAGTTTGGTTTTTTGATTTTGTATTATATCTGAGTCATTCAGTAATTGTATTTGCAAGCTGTTGTTATAAAATGTACTCATAGCATGATAGAGAATTTCCTTTTTTTTAATAATGAGAGCTGAAGTTATTTCTTTACCATTATTCCTCTAAATGTAAAATCTTGATGTTTATGTTACTTTTGAATAATGCTCACAGCATCAGTTTGGTTCACTTACCCACCCACTGCTATTGAATTGATTCTGACTCATAGCAACCCTGGGAGCTCTGATGGTGTAGTGTAGTGCCTAAGGCATTTGACTGCTAACCAGAAGGTTGGTGGTTCAAACCCACCAGCCACTCCTCAGAAGGATGGTCAGGCAATACACTACCATGGAGATACTGCCTTGGAAACCTAAGGAGTTGAACTTATTAAATGGCAGTGAGTTTGGCTTTTATTTTTTTCATAGCAACCCTATAGGGCAGGGTAGAACTGCCCCATAGGATTTCTAAGCCTGTAAATCTTTCCAGAAGCAAACTGCCTCATCTTTCTCCTGTAGAGCAGCTGGTGGGTTCGAACTGCCAACCTTTTGGTTAGCAGGCAATTGTTTTTTAACAACGGAGTTCTTTCTTCATTTACCAAGTAGTTAATTGGTAAGGGACAGGTAATTTAGAAAATGCTACTTTTTACTGAAGTCGGCTGAGCACCTATCACCTGATACCCATTTCTGAATTGTTTTAAGATGCCAAACTGTTACATTTTCATATCACCTTTCTGTTTGTAATATGAACTCTCCTAACACCAAGTTAGAAATTTATTTTATTTTGCTAGTCTTGTTGCAAGGTGTTCATTAATTGTTTTTTATTTAATCACCAGTAAAATAGAATACATTTTTAAAAGTAAGGTTATAAAATTTTAATAAGTTAAAAACACAAGTAGGAAATTAATAGATGGTCTTTAGGCTTATAGAAAGTCATTCATAACTACTACTTAACCAACCATGTATCTTTCTTTCTCCTTAGTGAACATGAATGGGCAGCTGTGGTAGGTTTGGAAATTCATGTACAGATTTCTTCCAACTCTAAACTCTTCTCTGGGTCTCACGTCCACTTTGCAGCACCTCCAAATTCTTTGGTTTCTTTTTTTGATGCATCTCTGCCTGGAACTTTGCCGGTAAGGCTTTTTATTTAATCCTGTTTTCATTAATAAAATGTCTGTATTTGCTTGAACACAGATAATGATTTTCTTGTGTTAATAATCCTTAAGAAGTACTTCTTTAGGGAATTTTGGATGTAGTGGGATAGTCTACATTTCTAAAGACCTGTCTCTGTAATTCTAAGTCTAAAAGTCATCCATTAAGTTCTCGTCCTTGGTCAGGCAGGCAGTGGCAGCAGTGTTCTAGCAGTCAGCCATGGCCAAGATTAAGGCTCAGGACCTGCGCAGCAAGAAGGAAGAGCTGCTGAAACAGCTGGACAATCTGAAGGTGGAACTGTCCCTGCTGGGCATCACTAGAGTGACAGGTGGTGTGGCATCCAAGCTGTCCAAAATCCAACTTGTCTGTAAATCCATTGCCCAAGTTCTCACCGTTATTGACCAGATTCACAAGGAAAACCTCAGGGCAAGAAGTACAAACCCCTGGATCCGTAGCCTAAGAAAATGAGTGCCATGTGCCACAGGTTCAACAAGCATGAGGAGAATCTGAAGACCAAGAAGCTGCAGTGGAAGGAGCAGCTGTACCTGCTGTGGAAATATGTAGTCAAGGCCTGAGCATCTCACATCCCTAAAATACAAACCGTCTGGGAGGAAGAAAGGTCATCCATTAATTCATACTTTTTTTTCACTTGTTTCACAAACATTTTAGAGTACCTACTAAATACCAGACACTGCTATTGTGGTGCAGTGAATTGCATAATATGGCCCTTCTAGCCTCTAGCCTTAGTCTTCCATTTTGTGATATATTATAAATCCTAGCCTCTGTGCCTGTGGTTATGGTCCCATTTTGGAGTGAGTTGTCTGTTGCATTGATGAGGCAGAATTAGGGTGGGATGTATCTTGAGCCCTGCCTTGCTGGAGGGTGTAACTCAAGTCACCCCCTTTAGTTTCCTTGAGGGTGAATGTTATGGCAAAGTTGCCCTCTTGCTTTGGATCCTGCATTTGGTTTGTCAATATCTCCCCCCAGTTCTTGGGACTTGAGACAGTAGCCAGTTGTTGGACCTGCCAGTTTGAGTTTCATCAGCTCCTGCAACCATGTGGGTGAGGAGAATTCTCCAGACTGATGCCTGACCTATGGATTTGGGACTTGCCAGGTTCCACCACTGCATGAGCCATTTCCTTGGCAGTTTGTGAGTTTTGTGAGATGTTACAGTGAAATACAGAACCCTAAGATTCGAGGGAGAATACTGAGGGGAGGAAGAGGAATTGATGTTAAAGATGTTGGAATGTGGTACAGCAGTTTGAAGAACTTGGACATTTGGGACATCTTTAACTTTCACATCATAGGGAACAGCCTTGTGCTCATCCTTCTAAAGCAAATTATTCAAGCCGGTATAACCTAGAACATAAAAATGAATGAAGTTCCTTGCCTTTGAATAAGTCACAGACTAGTGAGGATGATAAGTCTTATGAACAAATACAGTACAGTGTGCTTACTCCTGTGAAGTTAATATGCTTAGGATGGTTTTGAAACCTACAGGAAGGACTTTTAATTCTGTAGAGGGAAGGAACATTGTGGGAAATTGGAGTGGAAACTGTGGATGGCTAAGGATGCTTTGCTGGAGGAGATAGAGTTTGAACTAGCTGAGTAACTTTAAAAAAAAAAAAAAAAACCCAAATTCAATGCCATTGAGTTGATTCCCACTCATAGTGACCCCTCCTTGGGTTTCCAAGGTGGTATCTCTCTGGAATTAGATTGCCAAGTCTTCCTTCCAAGTCTCTAAGTAACTGAGTAGGAGTTAAATGGGCAGATAAATAAAAGAGGAGGAGGAGTCTAGCCAAACGAAGCATTTGTTTAAAATTAGATATGCACTCAATTCTTGTTATTTGGGGTAGTTAAACTCTGTAAAGTCACTTGTTGTTGTTGTTGTTATGTGCCATCAAGTCAGACCCGACTCATAGCAACCCCTCCTTGGGTTTCTGAGGCAGTATCACTATGGAAGTAGATTACCCCATCTTCTTTCCAAGGAGTGGCTGGTGGGTTTGAACTGCCAGCCTTCTGGTTAGCAGTCAAGTGCCTTAGGCACTATGCTACCAGTGACTAGGAACATGGAATTTGCAAATACTGAGCCATTGCTTGTAGAGGAACTATAGAGTTAGGTTTCTACAAGCTTCTGATCCCAAAATTTTCATCAACTGTCCAATATATAACATTGTTTTATGTGTGTTCCTCTTTAAACGCAGTTTATTTGATATATATGCTTGATTCATTAACATTGAAGTCACGGCCAATAGCATTATAACTCACACTTGAACAAATCTTATTTAATGTATACCTTTTTTCCATAGGGGTTATCACAGTCTTCCTGCACTTAGGAACACTGTTGTGTAGCATGTTGGCTTTGTGCTTGGGAACCATTTTAAATGGTAATGTAACAACAAAAATGTGAAAACCATGGCATTGAATAGACTGTGAGGTGGACATTTGAGACAAGAAAGCAGACCATTGCCTTGTTCTATCTCACATGGGACCGTGCATGGCAGACACCTCAGATTTTTCACTGTACTGCGCATGTCTGTGAATGACTGTGAAAGCATAGTGAATGCTAAAACCAAAACCAAACTCACTGCCGTTGAGTCGGATCCAACTCATAGTGACCCCTCCTTGGGTTTCCGAGGCGGTAGCACTACAGAAGTAGATTCCCTAATCTTCCTTCTGAGGAGTGGCTGGTGGGTTTGAACTGCCAGCCTTCTGGTTACCAGTCAAATGCCTGAGGCACTACGCCACCAGAGTTCCTATAGTGAATACTGAGTAAGTAAATTTGCAAATATGGAATTGTGAATAATGAGGATAGGCTGTAATTGGCTATTTATTAACCCCAATATTGACATTATTCCTGCCATCCTTGTCTCCAAAATTCAGCCACATACATAAAAATTGTTGTTGTTTGCCATCAAGTTGGACCCGATTCATAGTGACCGCTCCTTGGGTTTCCAAGGAGGTATCACTACAGAAGTAGATTGCCTAACCTTCTTTCTGAGGAGTGGCTGGGGGGTTTGAACTGCCAGCCTTCTGGTTAGCAGGCAAGTGCCTTAGTCACTATGCTACCAGAGCTCCTTTATATAAAAATAGATGCTAAAAATCTTGCTAATGGGTACATTGGACCCGGTGGTTCTCTGGGTTTAAGTGAAAATGAGTAATGCTTTTAGCTTGTTGACTTTTGTGGTTGACTTTTGTCTCCATGATTAGTCACTTCTTAATTTTCAATAAACATATCATTATTGACCTTAACATTGTAATATCATATGTGATATATGCTGCTTTCCTTGATTAGACTCCATAGATAGAAAAAGCACAAGTATAGGTCTGGGCCTATAGATCTAGTGTCTGCTAGGTATGGGGTTTCCTGGGCCATTCTTGAAGGGAATATATATATATGATGGTTGTGGGAATGAGAGTTGGGGGAGTGGATTGTCAGGAATGAATTCTGTAGTCTCCAACATTTTAGTATAAGTGAGAGGTGATTAAACTGAGCACTGGCAGACCTGCAGGGGCAGAGGTGTACTTTCCTAATGTCATTGTTCCCAGAGTAGAAGATTATGGGCAGCATCTTCCGTGTTATACCTGGGGCACTGGTTCTACTGAGGCAGCATCTCTGTCTTGGAAATTTTTCCATACTGTGTTCTTTTTCATGGAGGATTCCCATCCCTGCAAAGTATATGTAGTGTCACTGTCTTAGTTTCTTAGTTGCTTCTCTAACAGAAATACTACAAGTGGTGGCTTTAATGAACAGAAATTTATTTTTTCACAGTTTAGGAGGCTAGAAATCTGAATTCAGGGCACTACCTCTAGGGGAAGGCTCCGTTGGCTTTTGAGGAAAATCCCTGTCTCAGCTATCTAGCTGGGTGTCTTTGGAGTTCCTTGGCTTGTGAACTGGTCTGCCTCTGTCATCTTCAGATAGTGTAGATCTTCCCCTGTGTCTGCATTTTTCTGTACCTGATCTGTTCTTTATACAGGCAGGTCCCAGGTTATGAATGCCCAATTTATGTATAACCCGTAGTTACGAACCAACCCCTGTTAAGTCCTATTATATTAAAAATTTGAGGAATGTACAGTGATTCATGATAACACATGGGCAATACTTTGTGAGCTCCATCAAACATTATTATTGTTATTAATACTGTATTATTATGTTAAAGATGTTTTAGTATATCTAGAAGTGTTTCTTTAATGTTTTTCATGCACCGAGAGGTACACGATATACTACTATATGCTAGAACAAATATTTGACTAACTGACATTAAATATGAACCATACCTAACTGTTTTGGCTTACCTACAAATTTGACTTAAAGACAGATTTAGGAATGGAACTCTTTGGTAATCTGGGGACTGCCTGTATCTCAAAAAAAAACCTGTAGTCCTTACAGAAACAATAGAAGACAGACACACAGTAATCCCTCACAGAAAACCAGACACTATGGGAGAGAGAGCCAATAGATCTGTTGTCTCAGGACCATAGTACTGGGGGACACCAGACTCAATTGGCACAACAAAATACATAAAAGCTTCACATCCTACATTGGTGAGTAGCAATTGGGATCTTAAAAGCTTTCAAGCAGCCATCTAAGTAAGATGCAGCTAACGGTCTCCTAGCATTGGAAATGAAGAAGAACACACAAAAAAAGGGCATTTGGAAGCAGTTAGCCATAGGACACAATGACCCTCGAGACCAGAAGAACTAGATGGTGCCCAGGTCCCAATGCCAGCCACTCAGGAAAGGATCAAATCTGAAGATCCTAGATAGAGTGGGAGGGAAAACGTGGAACAAAATCCAAAAACTCAATAATGACCAGAATTACTGGTCAGATGAAATCTGGTGAGACTCCCAATACTATGGCCCTGAAATACATTCTGCGCCTAGAATAAAATGCACCCCCAGGGGCGGGCTCTCAGCCCAATAGTTAACAAGATGTACACACAGACCAATCAACCCAGGATGACTCACCCACATCCTCTAT